TGCGCGATCGTTACTTCCCTTCGCGAAAGAGAGAGAGAGAGAGAGAGAGAGGAGAGAGAGAGAGAGAAGAGAGAGAGAGAGAGAGAGAGAGAGAGAGAGAGAGAGAGAGAGAGAGAGAGAAAGTCCGCTCATCGGGGTGTTGAGCAACGGCTCGACGAGATTTCCGCCGTGGACGGCAAGTCGATTCCAAGCCGATATACGCGACGACGGCGACGACATCGACGACGACACACGGTCGAGAAACGGAAGAGAGCCCCGAGTACTCTCCCGGAAGAGGCCGAGCGTGCGAGTCATCGGTGCGAGCTCTCTTCCTCTCTCTCTCTCTCTTTCTCTCTTCCTCTCTTCCTCTCTCTCTCTCTCTCTCTCTCTCTCTCTCTCTCTCTCTCTCTCTTTCTCTCTCGCCAGACGGGGACGTCTTTGTAGCGCGCGACGGAGGCGTGAATGACGCCGGGCCAGGAGGCCCAATTACGAGTTATTCAGGCCTCGCCACGGGACACCGCGCTCATATGTATGTATATATGTATGTATGCGTGTACATACTCGCGTACCTACCTACCTGGCGCCTTCCACCTTTGATCTCGACACAAGAGCGAGAAAGAGTGCGAGCGCGCCGGGCCGGGCGGCGAGAGAGCGGAACGAAGAGACAGAAGGCGAAGAGGGCGGAGGAGGAGAGGTAGAGCGCGAGCGCGAGCGCGGTGCGGTGAGCTGAGGTGAAGCGAAGTTGGGCGAAGGGTAGCGCGCGAAGGGGGGGAGGGGGGCGGGAGGAGAACGTGAGGACGTCTCTGCGGGATTCCCGCCGCCACTTATGGGAATGTGATACGAGCTTTTCGTCGGATGCTCTCTTGCGTTTTCGCATTGTTACGCAACCGTCCTTCTCGCGTCCGCGCGTCACCCTCGTGCGCCCCGACAAAGGGAATCAATGTCAATGCGCGCGCCATGCTGCTGCTGCTGCTGCTGCTGCTGCTGCTGCTGTTGCTGCGTGCTTTTGCGCAGAGGTGCCAGGCCGAGCGGCGGAATAATGACGATCGAGGGAACGTTAATAAGCGCGCGCGCGCGTCGCGATGACGACGATGATGATTAAGTGCGCGCGCGAGGCGTTCACTTATTTACCCTCTCTGACCTCTCTGAAGATTGCATTCTGAACACTGTAAACGCGATGTGTTAATTCGACGTGCACTGTGCCTGTGATTGGCGATTGGCTCTTCGATCATTTGATTCGCTGAGACATCATTCAACACGCTCAAACGACGCGATCGAGGATCGAGGACGGGAATTGTGTGAGCAAGCTTCAGTCCAATCGCATTGGCTTGCGCACGCTTGTAAATAAACAACATACTTTAATTCGCCGTGTAATTGTTCGGATTACCGCGGATTTTGGGAACGATCATTTTTCGCTCGCGTAATCCCCGAGTCGCGGTCAGCGACGTCGACATTGTTCGCTCGATGATCAATTAACGTGATTGACGTGACGTTGAGTGGTAATCGGCTGATGTGAGTATTTTGCCTGTCCTCGCGCGCTCGGCGCAATTCACGGAAAGTTTACGTGTACGTTTGAAATGCGCGGAAACGATACGCGCACGGAGCAGGGGGTAATGCATTCGGTTGAATGCGCGATCGCGCTGATTATATATCGCGGGATCAAATTTATCAGGAAACACAGGAAAAGTCATTTTACACCGCGTTAGTCCCTGTTTGTCCACGCCGCCGCACTACGTCGCTCATTTTTCAGCAAAGCTGTCGCGCACGAAGCCTTTTTACGGTGTAAGCGCCGTGCTCGATTACGAAGTAAACTGACGACGATAAGTGCATGCCGGGCCGGGCGTGCGAAATTTGTCCCGCCGGCAAGATCGAACGCTCGATTTCGCGGCTCTTAGCGCGGCCCGGGAGGGTTCCTGGACGTCACATTACGGTGTCAACGACTCGCTACGTGGACCACAAACCGCTGGCATCCGCGTGTCGAGGATGAATGCCGACGCCACGGGTGGCGGACAGGCGCATACAATCCGAATAAAATGTATCAATTCCGTCGTGGTGGTGTCGGAGTGTCCCTTTCCCCGAGGCTCCCCGATTGTGCGCGCTCCTCTCCGAAGAAGAAACCGAGTCCCGGGCGCAACGGACGGCGTCGATTGTTGCTCCGTCGAGAGTGCGTTGTATATGTAATCCGTCACGCGATACGGCGAATTTTAATAAACGCATATAATTAATTACGCGACTAATTAAATGCACTTTAAATACAAGCCGTGCCCCGAGCACACGGAGGTGTCGCTCGGTCAATCGTCGTTTTATGCAGCGTTCATTCCCGGCTCTCTCTGGGCGAATAATGAAATCACCTCCCGGTGTTTTACCTGCCTGCCCCGCGTGTGGGTGAGACTCATTTCTACGTTCATTGAATGAAATTCATATTTTAGATATCGGAATATTGGTTATGGAGGGGCTGTCCTCGAGTTTGCCGCAATCGGCTGCCCCCTCACCGAGTTGCCGAGGTCGTGTCCGTCGGCCGTTCGGCATCGCCGGCCGTCGCGACGAGTGTAGGATTCCGTTTTCACAAGCCCGCTTTCACGAACGTCCGAGTTTTGTCGCTGATCGCGAGGCATCGCGAGGACTCGCGTATAAACTGCAATCCACGACGATCGAGGCTGAATCGACGAGTGAAAGAAACGGACTATGTTTACGACGCGACGCGCTACGACAAACGTCAGGCTCTTCAAACAATTCATGAAGAATAGAAATTTCTCTCTCCCTCCCTCCCTCTCTCTCTCTCTCTCTCTCTCTCTCTCGCGCGTCCCTTTTTTAAGTTCCCTTTTTTAAGGCAATCAATGGTCTTGAGGGGTCGCGGAAAGGACGGAAACCCTTCCATCCGCGGGACATCCGTGACAGTTGAAGGATACCTCCGTCAGTCATTTCGCAGGAAGGTCCACGCACAAACCAAACGGTATCCTTCTCCACCGAGTGCTCCAGATATACGGCGAAACGTGACGCACGCATTATTTCAGGCGCGTTTTTCCAAAAGCGTTCAGAGCTCATCTGAAAAAACAACACGTCGTGACGTTTTCCTGTTTTCACGGCGCGGCGCACGATTCTCTCCGCGCGCTGCCGTTTGTCACTTGTAATTCGCCGTCGCGTCATCAGCTCCCAGTTTCAAGCATCACCCCGCGAACCTCGCGCGCACGCTAAATTGAGCAAAAAGACGGATCACCTGCAGCTTCCACCTTGGCGCGTGAGAATGTGTTGTCCTCCCGAGATTACCGGGGGACAATATTACCGGAGCACCGTTTTCTTCTCTGTCGGACTTCTCCCAACAGGAAGAATCCAACTCGGCGCGCTTTGTTCTTTTCCATTAATTTTCGAGAGCCATCTCGCGGGAGAAGAGAAACCCTGACAGACATCTGCCGTTCATAGCGGCGCAAAAGTCGCAAGCGGCTTTTTCGTCGCGCAAACTCGCGGGGGCCGGCGACTTTCATCGCTAAATCGCGGACGAGGTCGGCGATTTCGCTATAAACGAGAGGAGACACTGCACGGCATGTGTTATTCTAACCCGAGCACGAGGAGCACGCGCGCGCGCGGGTGCCTTAAGTAACGCAAAAATGCAAGCGAGCGCTCCGCTCCGTGAAACTTTATCCAACTTCTGTTGTAAGTAGCTTCTAAGCGACGTACCTTTCTTCCGTGGGGGCGTTCATAAACCCCGCGCGAGTGCTATAAATCGATTTTTCCCCAGGGAGGATAAGCCGTTGTCCTCGCGTCCCTCCCGCCCTCCCTCGTTCCTCCTACCGCCCTCTTTAACCCCCCCCCTCCCGCCTCGGCCCCCTCTCTCTCTCTCTCTCTCTCTCTCTCTCTCTCTCTCTCTCTCTCTCTCTCTCTCTCTCGCTCGCTTTCCCCTCGGTCGGAGCGCGAACACGAATAAGTCGACGCTAATAACGAGATCTTTAGTGCTTCCTCCATCGCTGTTTTCCTATCGCGCCTGTCGCTTTTCCTCCTCGCTCTCGCGCTGCGGATAACAATGTCGCGACGCGTATTTCGTCGTCGCGCTTTCCGCTCGATCGCACGCCGACGCTCTATTAATCCCGTCAACCACGCGCTGTGCGTGTCGCGTAAATTCGCAATCTGATCTGATTTCGGCTTTTCTCGCGGGCATACGAATCTCGTAAGGTCGCTCCTCTCCCTCCTGCGTCTCTTCCTCGTCTCGGCGTTCGTCTCGGCCTATCGACAAGTACGTTCCTCGCGTCCCTCCACCGTCCTCCTCCTCCTCGCTCATTACTCGCGTACTCGCGCTGAATGTCGTGAGACGCGTGCACGTGGACCTGTGTCGCCGTACTCCTCGCCGATAGTAACAAATCGTTCTCTTTGTTCTCGTCGTTCGCTCCAGCCGCTAGCGTGTTTGATGTTCCGTGCGCGCGACTTTGGGCTGACGAAAGAGACGTTGCAGCCGGCACGAAAATACCGTCCGTGTAATTTGGGGATTTACGCGCGGACAACACACACACACACATACACACACACATACTCGCCGCTCGGAGCTTTCGCCAGCCCGTAAAAATTGCATCGTCCCGTTGCGCACGTCATTAAGAGAACGGACATCCAGAAAAGGCCGGAATTTAACGAGCTCCTCGGAAGGATCCGAGTTCTGGATGCAATTCGCTGCCGCGAGTTCTCTCTCTCTCTCTCTCTCTCTCTCCCTCTCCCCCTCTCCCCCTCTCCCTCCCTCCCTCCCTCCGTCTCCCTCTGCTGTCTGTCTGTCCCTCTCCCTCCGTCTGTCGCTCCCTCTTACTCTCTCCCTCGTCGTTCTCGCACATTCACGCCGGACGCTCATAACGAGGCTCATTTGGTGGCTCCTGCGCGACCAATGCCGACGCAGGATGGTGGCTACGGCCATGCCCAGCGGCCAATAGCACCGCGTGTCATGCAGCTGTCAACGTGGCCACGCCTTTCGCCAATCCGCATTGAGCCGCGCATGACGCACTCGCGCGCTTCGACGACGCGCCGCATCGGCAGTCCCTTCTGGTGCGCGCGTAGGAGAGTGTCTCTCTCTCGCGCGGCTGCGAGAGAGACAGAACGGTCCCATTGATCTCCGCCTGTGTCTCGGAAAGAGAGACACACACCGCTCTCGCGCGAGATCTCACCGCGCGCGTGCGCGCGCGCGCATCCAGCACGATCATCGTCATCGCCAGAGCGGAGTCATCGGAATCACCGGAGGCCCAGGCGGCACAGTCCGGAGGGGTTGCGCGCACGAGTCGCAGCTGGAGGTTGTCATCGCGAGAGCCCCTTGCCTCACAGTCCACGAGCAAGCAAGACGATTCTCTCCGCTGTGTGTCGTTCACTGGTGCGACCGGGATATTTCTCACCCGGTATACCATCCCGCCTCGCCGGAGTGCGGAGGAGACTGCTGAGACACCGAGCTGCGTTTTCGCATCTTTCGGGCACACCCGTTGTACACGAAGGCAGCCGAAAGACCAGCGCTCGCGGCGGCGGCGGCGGATCTCGCTCGGCGGATCGGCGAAAGCGCGTCAAAGGCTCAAAGAAGCGACTCGCGACGAACGCGTTTGGCTTGGCTTTGGCTTGGCTTGGCTTGGCGGCGCGATCTTCGATTGTCGGCAGCTCGAGTCGTGATCGCAGAGTGATATAAAGGCGGAAGAACACCCGGACGATTCTCCACTGTGTGACCCTGTTACCCGATCGAGAAGGTGGCGAGATTCGGCGAAGGCGGTTTGGTGACATTTTCGACGAGAGAGAGAGAGAGAGAGAGAGAAGAGAACGAGTGTATGTGCGTGTGTGTGTGCTCGCGCGTGGGAGCAAGGGAGAGAGACAGAGAGAGAGAGAGAGAGAAAGAGAGAGCGTCGCGACGAGAGGCGTCGATGGGGTTCAAGGAGAGCGAGGGAGACGCTCGTTAAGACGCCTCTAATAATAGCGACGCGCTCGCGAGTGTACCAAGCGGTCTATAAATACGATCTCTGCCCCGTGGAAACACGAGCCCGTGGATTTCACGGTGCAACCTGTGCCGCGTGAAAGAGGAGCGGAGTCGACGACGACGACGACGACGCGCTCGATGCCGCGATCGGGTCTCGCGCGGGTGTGTGAATCGGCGATCGCAAATTCGTCCGGCGAAAGTGCTCCTCGCAACGAGGGACAGTGATATAACACAATTCGCGCAGCGGCCGAGCGCGCGAGAGAGACGAGAGAGAGACGAGAGGGAGAGAGAGAGAAAGAGAGAGAGAGAGAGAGAGAGAGCGCCCGGCCCGCTGGCGAGATTCGTGCCAAGGCGGAGGAGAATCAACGGAGACAAGATCTCGCCCGTCGCGCTGTGATCGCCGAGGTTAAACCGATATTCTTGCCGCGGCGAGAACGATCGAGTCGCGCTCAAGTTCGAACAGCCGGCAAGCGAAGCGTGTCCTTCCTCTTCTCTCTCTCTCGTAGGATGTAACCAGGTCCGTGTCAGGACGCAGACAGACGGCCAGAGATCCGACGCGCAGCGAGAACCCGCGCGACTCGGAGACGCTTGTTCTCCCGAGTGCTCCCCGACGAGAGAAAGAGAGCTTCGTGTTCCCCGAGTTTCTCGCGCGAGCTACGTTCCCCATCCTCCGGTCAGCTGGTGCGATACAGAAATACCACGCGCGTGCCTCCGCTTGCGGATGACAACAGTGGCCGAGGATCGTCGATCTGCCGGCGGAAACACCGCGGCTCGATAAGGCCGTCTTCGTCGGCGCGTGCAAAGCGACACTCTGTGTCTCTCTCTCTCTCTCTTTCTCTCTCCCTTTCTCTCTCTCCCTCTCTCTCTCTCCCTCTCTCTCTCTTTCTCTCTCTCTCTCTCTCGTAATCTTCCTCCGCGACTCGTATTACGCGCTACGCTACGCTACGCAGTGCGGTCCGCGAATACGTATCTGAGTATCTCTTAGAATTACTCCGACGCAATTCCTCACGCCGGTGACTGTGTGATCCCCGCGACGTCGGCGAGTGACGTTCGCGTTACCCGCGTCGGAGCGAGTGCGCTTGCAGAAGAAAGCAGCCGGAAGCTCTCGGAGTCGTTAGCGTTGTTGTCGTCTCTCACGAGAACCTCGTGACGCCACGTGTCATCCTCGTGCTCGAAACAACCTCGTCCTCGTAAAGCCCGGGCGAGCGAGGATAACAGCGGCCTCCCAAACGAAAGCGTCACTTGCTTTTACAGCCTCCTCCCATAAAAAGGAAAAGAATTGGGTGCTTGAGGGAAAAAAAAAAAAAAATACCGCTGACCCAGGTCGTCCTGTCAAAGACGTTTCCGCCGGCATCGCGTCAAACATCTCCTACCTAGACCATGTCGCCGACCGGACACGCCGAGGTGCCTCAGTGATCCCGCGTGTCGAGGACCCGACAGCGTGGAAAATGAGCGGCGAGTGAACGGAAGTGGCGGCGGCGGCGGAGGCGGAGGAGAAGAAGAAGAAGAAGAAGAAGAAGAAGAAGAAGATCCTGCGGAGCAGCGTGGCCGTCGGAGGATCGAGGTCCCGCGAGCGACCTCACGGTCCATCCGGTCGCATAGCCGCAGGGAGGACGATCGCGTCACCACCACGGTGGAGAGCGGCGGTGGCGTGCGTGGGGTCGTCGTGGACGCCCCCGGAGATGACGCCATGATGGCCTACGGAGGCACCGCTGGCAACGGGGGCGCGATGGGCCCGTCGTCCGGTGGCGCGGACGTTCTGGGCTCCGCGGGGGACTACAGCCCCCAGAGTACGCCGACGCCCTTGACGGGGCACTCGTCGGGCTCGGTGGAGAACGCCTACACGCCCGGTACGACCGGAGCGGCCAGCTACAGTCCGCAGGACAGCCCGGCGAGCTCCGCCGGCGGCAGCGGCAACGGCCAGCTGCCGAGTTTTGGCTTCACGCAGGAGCAGGTCGCGTGTGTCTGCGAGGTAAGTCGTGTGAGCCGGCTTGCTACCGCTTCGCAGGGCTCCCTCGTGGAGAGCCTCCTCCGCGTCCCACGAGAGACACAAAGACGAGCTGGATGAAAAGCGCGTGTCGGAAAAGGGGTGGAAGAAGGGGAGGGGGACTCGTGGATAGTCGCGCACGCGGGATTTCGGAATATACACACGTGAAGAAGTTGGCCAACTTGAAGGAGATGAGGAGGGAGGGAGGGAGTGTCGAGTAATGATGGCGGTAACGAGTTCGGTCTGTAACATTCTGAAGATACCTTGTGCTTCGTTGCGTCGCGTCGCGTCGCGTCGCGTCGGGAGGTTTCCAGGGCGGACTAATTGCTCGAGAGCGCGCCTTGATGAGCAGCAGCGAGTCGTGTTTAGTCGCGGTGCTTCCGCGCAACCTTCGTCCCGACGTCTCGCTTTGTGTCTCTTGTCCAGGGGAGTGTCTAGTCGCTTGTCGCTCGCGCTTGTTCGCCGCAGGGATGCGATCAGAGCCGGCCGTCGCGATCGCGCAACACGCCGGACTCCGCTTGGAAGCGCGCGGGTTCCGCTGCGGACACGGCCACGGTAAACGCTAATGTGTTTAGAGTTAGAGTCGGTTGATTTCAGCTGAACTGACGTTGCACTGAAACTTTATTCCTTTCTCCTGCGCTAATTTACGCTAATATACTTATTCCACATTCTAACGGCGAGAAGTGCAAGCTGGTTGAGCCAGAGAGAACGCGGAACCTTTGGTCTGGACGCGGTACGAGGTTGTTCTTACGGTTCTTACGAAGTTAACAAAGATCGCAACTCTACGGTTCTTCGCGCGGTTGCCTCGCGCTGAAAACGTAGCGTCATTCTCCGAGGAAAATTACAAGCCGCGCGCGTTAATCTTCGCGTTGCACAGCCAACGACGATGTTTCATAGCGATGGCTGGCCGCGCGCTGTCTTCGGCGAGTAGCTCGTCGACCGGCGTTCGCACGAGGAGACACTTTTCAGCGTCGGAAACAGCGTCAAGTGTCACCGATGAAGTTTATCCTCACGTCGCGAGTTCCCCTCGTTGTTCTCGACGAACGTGCGTCTTTGTCGCGGAGGAACGTGAACGCGCGCGAATAAATGCCACGTCTCGAAACGCGGAGACCACGAAGATCCACGACGAGGAAATCGCGAGGCGGCGACGGCGCGCGGTCGTTAGATCGCCGACAATGCGCGGCGTTTATCATTTCGCCAAGATTCGCCTGCATGCCACACGCTTCCATGGGATCTGCACGATTTTATTGTAATCTGTAAATTGTTTCATGCGCGACGTTTATGATGGCTGCCTGCCGCCGCATCTCGAGCGCGTCCCGCATGTTCGAGGCGAAGACGCGATTCCTCCCGCGCTTGGCAGCGAACTCGCTAATTCCTCGGCGCACGCTCGATTTCAGCGAACTTTAGCTTTGTGCGTCGGCGACCGATCGAGAGAACATCTTTTGCCTGGATAGGAGGAAGCTGTGTAATGAATTATCGCGCGGGGCTTATATCGTTCGCGTTGAGGGTGAAGAAACACAATCGAGTCGGACGTGGCGACACGTTGCGTTACGACGTTAGGCGAGATCAAATTAAATAAAGGTAGATAACGTAGATCGCGAACAAATGTTTTGTATATTTTGTTTTATTTTCTGTTTTTTTTTTGTTTTCATCCCTTACGTCGACCTCGTTTATTTTCCTTTTTTTTTTCTTTTTTCCTTTTGTCGAAATATTTACTACAGATGTTCGGAATTGAATGCTAGCAATTGAGCATTTGTCCAACATGCATAATGAAGTCGGAAAATAACCTCCTCGCGAGCGACGGATTGGAAACAGCGAGGCATCGGCATCCCGTCGGATAATACCGAGTGTGCGAAGAAGACGAGTCTGCCAAACGCGGAAGTAATCGACCGGCGCAGCATCGAGAGACTGCGTCGTTGCACGACGCGTGTTTCTGCACGTGCTGTGTATCCCCGTGTGTATGCGTGTGTGTGTGTGTGTGTGTGTGTGTGTGTGTGTGTGTGTGTGTGTGTGTGTTGGCGCTATAATTATGCGGCTAGACTTAAACTCCTTGCCCACGTCGCACAGACCGATTACGGCTCGCGAATTCCGCCGAAGTAAATTTCGACGACCCCGCGGAGGAATCATATACGAGTCTCGTGACCCGCGAGATTGGGGTCGCTATCGCGTATCGATTTGTTTAAAAATATAGTGATCGCTGCCACTCTCTGTGACACGTGGGCGCTAGTTGTCTTGTATCATTCGAGGTATCCACGATAGATCTCTGTTTCGCCGGGGTTTCACCTTGTCGAGGTGAAGTGAGAATTTCGCCGCGTGTCGATCGATCCCGCTCCGATTCTCATCAGAGCCCGATCTCGATCTCATAGTGTGGAGAAAGGGGGAGGCTGGATAGGATACTGGATAAATTCCCCTTCAGCGCGGATTACGGATTATTTTAGAACATCGATCTCGGAGTCCCGATTTAGCGGCATAGTCCGACGCGTTGAATTATGCTATTATTTCACTTGGCTCGAGTATTTCTTAATCCCACCAGTCCCCAACGTCCACGTACGTCGCGTTGAGCGTATCCATGAGCCATGAGCGGTGCTATCGCGTCGTGTGGTGGTGGCGCGCGTGTGTGTGTGTGTGTGTGTGTGTGTCAGTGCTCAAAATCCAACGAAACAACGTGAATTTGATTATCGCTCGCCGGTATTTCCGAGCAGAGTCGCGCGCGCGGCTCGAGATTGATCGAGATTCCGCGCCGCAATTCGCGACGTCATCCGATGACGACTGCGCGTAGACAAAGATGACAAGGTAGTGTGTACAGAGCGGAACTCGTGTGTCGCTTAATTAAGATCCGCCCGTGTACAATCGTTGAACGTCTTAACTCCGTGTCGGTATGGCGCGCCTTCGCGGCCATTAATTCTCTGCTAATTAAATTCTTCGCCAGAGGGATATTAATGCCGTCTTCCGTCGGTCCGATTCTTCTGCCTGTCTAATCGTAATTTCACGCGCTCGCGCGTTGCTCGCGCGAGCGCGTGAATTCTTGAGGGAGCAAAGGCGGGAACGGCAAAGGGAGAAGGACGCCGATCTCGCGAGTGTTTGCTTGAGGAATAAAGAATGGGATACAATCTGTATACGAGTCTTGCGTATCCACGCTCCGTCTCCGGCTAATCGAGGCTGCAGGACTCGCGCTTGCTACCGATGACGTATCGATTTTACGTCGTACGCCTCGTACGCGCTTAGGAAATTGGTTATTTGTATCAATCAAAGGTATGTGTATAATACGGTAATATCCAGACCGGCGGTGTGTGTATGTGTTAGACACACACACACACACACACACACACACGTGGAGCGCATGAATAACACTGACACGGCGCGTTAGCGATACGCGAAAAGCAACGGTCGCGAAAGATCGACAGACGCGTGTGTGTTGATGACTGACGCGACGAGGACCGGCACGCGAATTCCGGTGGATAGAATAACTCATTTCTCGAACGGAATCCGCGACGGACGGTTAATTATGTCGGCGGGAGAACGCGCGAAAGATAACATGACTCACGTCGATAAAATGAAGTGAAGTATACGACGAAATAAAATTGACGTATGGTTCCACTTAGGCTCGTGTTACGCCGCGATCGTTTGAGTTCATTAACGGTCGTTTCGGGAAATTATACGAATGTTCAACGTCAAAGGTACGCGTCGGCTGTTTTCTGCTCACGCTCGCGCTTGAATCGATGCCGCGTTTTGCGTTGCCGCGTGTCGCGCGGGTTTTCGGTGCTTAATTTCACGCACGTTGGACGCAAATTTAGAATGTTAACGTGACACATCTCAAGCGACAACTTGGATTCGTATTTTCGACGTCGGGTACATGTTCCTCTATATCGCGACTCTCGCGGGTCTCAATTCAGTTCGAACTCTTAAAACTAAATGTGCAAGATCATAGGTAGCCACCCATGATTATTGATTCTAACGTTACGCGTCGACACACACAGACACTGCCGATTGTCCGAAAATATTTCGCCCGGATATTCCAAGTGACTCGCGAAATTACGAATCGGGCTATTTTAATCGCTCTGGGATACGAGGCTCATTTTTACTTGTGCTTGTAAGAATTCAATTAACCGAAATCTCACCGGTAAGATGATATCCCGATTCATTTCCCCTCAAACTCAAAGACTCCCATCTCAATTTAACATCGTTCTTCCAAGCTCACGCTCTCTATCTCTTTAAACTATAAAAAGGAAAAAAAGTTCCATTGTGTTCTCGCAAAATTGCCAATTTTGCCTGAAAAAAAGAAAAAAAAGGAACAGCTCATTACGCGGCGATCCGCTGTTCCTCCCATATTTATATCGAGAAATAACTTCAACCTTCGAGGAAAACGTCGACGCCGTCAAGGCCGTTAGTTAGTTTCCCGGTCCCTTCGTGGAGGCGATAATGTTAAAAATTTGTCTAAACTGGTTCTACTATAAGAGAGGAAAGAGAAAAGACAGAGAGAAACAACCGAGCGTGTGACAGATCTAACCCAGATCTCCGCGCTGACTGGCTTTTGTAAAAAATACTTCAAACCACAAAGCCAACCAAGACTTAATCTGGATAGCCGCTGGTAGTATCCTTCTTTCGATAAAAAAAAAAAAAGAAAAAGAAAAAGCGGATTTAAAATACCAAATGTAAACCAGTCCTATTTCTGAGCCCGCCGCTTCGACTCGTTTTCCTCAAAGAGGGGGTCTAATAAGGAGGTAACTCTAACCTAACGAGACTTTGTATCCATTTCGACCGGTTTTCCTTGAAATTCACATTTCTGCGAATTTACAGATGAATTTACAGACGTCGGAAATAATCGGAGCTATTGTTCAGGCTCGCGAATTTCTTTTTTTTTTTCCAGCTCCTCCAGAATCATTCCCGAGCACTGTGCCGTGATATCATACCTATCCAATCCTTATTTCTCCTTCCCCCCCCTCCAATCTCTGCTCACACACGCGCAATTACGGGATCAAGTGCGACAGAGCCAGCAGATCCTCTCAATAGATAAAAAGCGAAAAAGAGCCCGGAAATGAAGCTGAATTTAGAGTATCCTTAATTCGCGTGCGCGCGCGTATTTCAAAGTCAAGAAGATCGATCCAATTTTGATATTCCCTCGACTCCGGGATCCATTCGCTCGCTGCATCTCGAGAGGGTGGATTACGACGCGCTGTTGCGCTCTCTTTCGGTCGCGCCGTGCCTTTGGAAAAATCATCAACCCGACCGCGATCCGTTAGTCGTTGCCCGACTCGTCTTCCTTGATCGAGGTGATCGACTGAGGTGGAGAGAAAGAGAGAGAGAGAGAGAGAGAGAGAGAGAGAACGAGAGAGAGAGAGAGAGAGAGAGAGAGAGAGAGAGAGAGAGAGAGAGAGAGAGAGAGAGAGCGAGAGAGAGAGATAGAAAGAGAAGAGATAGAGAGATAGGTGAATGCGAGATATACAAGATACACTAGAATAAGAGGAGACCCGGGATGAGTTTTGCCGACTAACAGTGTGCCCCCCCTGTCTATCGTCTTCAAGGCGATGGTGTCGAATGTCCAGGTACTCCAGCAGGCAGGCTCCGTGGAGAGGCTCAGCAGATTCCTCTGGTCTCTGCCGGCGTGCACCAGGTTGCACCGGCATGAGAGTGTGCTCAAGGCCAAGGCGATCGTCGCCTTCCACCGGGGTCAATTCAAGGAGCTCTACAGGATCCTGGAGAGCCACACCTTCAGCCCGAACAATCATCCCAAGTTGCAGGCCCTCTGGCTCAAGGCCCACTACATCGAGGCTGAGAGGCTACGCGGAAGGCCCCTCGGCGCAGTCGGTTAGTAAGAAGAACGATCCTGTCGCTTTTCGCGGTGCATGCGCGACGCGAAATATTCCGATAACGAGCTTGCGATTATCGGTTTGTTACATCCACTCGCACTTAATGGATCTCCCATTCCGGTGTGTAAAAGGTTTCGTCATACCGACTTGTCGTTGAGGGCGAGAACCGGACAAGCGGTCAAAAAATACTAGTCGGCAAGAAGGTAACAACGGGGCTGACGGGGGCGGTCGGGATGGATTATGTAAGCTCGCACACCGCGCGGTGTGCGATTCCCCGGATAAATTAATCGCGCGACGTACGCGAATGGATTAAAGAGCCACGTCGAGAGTGCAAACAACGCCGGCACGGTCAACCTTTTACACTGCGGAATGGAAGATCCATTAAGTATGAGGGGATGTAAAAATGTTCGCGCCGCGTTTCACATCAAATTGATAATCCGATGCTCGAGTGCGCGTCGAGTGTCGTCGTGGGTCGTCGGTCGCTTATCCTGTATTTCCCAATCGCGCGCGATTCCGATCATTTACCGTAGATTCGAATTTACGAGAGCGTGATATAACACGTCGCCCCGCGCCTGTGTGTCGGTGAAATGAAATAATTTAGGAAGTGGCGTATCGAGGTACGTTTAATTTAACGCGTCTCGCTTTTATATCGTCATAAAATAATGACGCGACGTTCGTCGCTGAGATATTGCACGGCGTTACTAACTAAAATAACGCCGCGAGTACGTGACTTTGCGGCGCTACGAAGAGGAAACATTTCTCTCTCTCTCTCTCTCTCTCTCTCTCTCTCTCTCTCTCTCTCTCTCTCTCTCTCTCTCTCTCTCTCTCTCTCTCTCTCTCTCTCTCGTATAATTCCACGCGCAGCCGGCGGTTTAATAATTCGCTCCCCGTGCGTTTTATGAAGATTATCCCTCGCGACGAAAGATTTATCGATGCTGCAGTGTTATATCGCGCGTGGAACTTGGACAATATCGGCCAGCGGCATTTTAAATCGCGCTGTTTTTAACGCGCGCGCGTTTTAGCGTTCGTCGCGCTTATTCTCTCTCTCTCTCTCTCTCTCTCTCTCTCTCTCTCTCTCTCTCTCTCTCTCTCTCTCTCTCTCTCTTGCTGTCGTTCTTTCTCTTTCTCTCGCGGCGCGACGATTAATAACGCACGCACGTGGGCTCGCACGCGCGTGCGATGATAAATGCCGCGCGATTGGGGCATTAACGGGCCGGAGTAGTAAGTTATTACCGAATGCAATCCGAGCTAATGAGCGGCTATAGACTTGGCCCTATTTTGCTCGCTCGATCTGATTTGCGACGAAGCAGCGCTCGCGTCTCGCGCGCTCGTCGCACTCGGCCCGGAAACCAAATCCGTCCCGTCGAAAAGAAGAAGCTGTGGAAACAAAGCGCGACATTGTGCACGCGTTAGAGAGAACACCGAGGTGCCGCGTTGCTTCCTCTTCCGTTTCCCCGACTTTGGGGACGAGACGACGACGACGACGACGACGACGACGGCTACAGCGGAACGGACTCCTCGTCCGCTGAGGTGCAAATCGCGAATGTTTATGCGATACCACTCGCGACTCCACTCGGCCTGTTCGATGAATGAACGTATCCGCTGGAACGTCTCCGCGATCCTCGCCTCGCGGTCAGCGGAATCAGCCAGTTGAGAACGTTCGGTACACACACACACAGTACGAAAGCTCTCGTCAGCGCCGCGATTGTACACAGTGCAATCTCTCTCGTGCGGATAATTCATCTTACTTCCAATTCGTCCTTCCGGCATTTCAATTCGACAAACAGACACACCCGGCCCGATTCTTATTTATCGAGAGGTCCGCGGCCGTTGTTTGCTTTCCAGGCAAGTACCGAGTGCGTCGCAAGTTCCCTTTGCCGCGCACGATCTGGGACGGCGAGGAGACGTCTTACTGCTTCAAGGAGAAGTCCAGGAGCGTCCTGAGGGACTGGTACGCCACCAATCCGTACCCGTCGCCGCGGGAGAAGCGAGAGTTGGCGGAGAGCACCGGCCTCACCACCACGCAGGTCAGCAACTGGTTCAAAAACCGAAGACAGAGGGACCGCGCCGCCGAGCATAGGTGAGTCGCTTCGGCTTTTGCTTTTGCTGAGCAGGAGGAGATACAGAGTGATTAAGGAAGTGTAATTGAGCGAGTATTCAGATTCAGCGATAAGATCGATGCCTCGACTCGGCCCGCGGTGGTGCGCAGCTCGCGAGCTCGTGACGAGCGGCTCGTTCTGTCTCTTGCGGCTCCGCCAGGCAAGAGTAACATCCGGCGATATTTCCAAGTGTCCAACGGCCGCGCGCGGTTGTGTAATTGGCGGACGTTAGCGTTAGGAATTTTCGTCCCTCGCGGATAGAAGCGCGCCCGTACAGAGGAGGAGAGAGTCCCGTGTTGTTTGGAAGGTCGTTGCTCTACATCCGATTTTAGAAACGAGCGAAGGCCCCATAACTACGTAATGCGATGCCTTCCGCCGCGTAGCGTCGCGTCGCATACACGCGAGCGAGCGAGCGAGCGAGCGAGCACTGGCGTCCAGTCCTCTCTTTCCTCTTGCGTGTACGAGCGTGCGCGAGCGCTCCAACAAATAAATAACTAGCGGCTCTCGGCCATCTGGCCGCTGACAGCTAGCGATCTCTCGCGAATTCCTTCGCGAAATTTATCAGCTCGCGGCGATAATCGCCGCTGTGAACGCGAAAATACGCGAGTCCGCGAGTCGGGACGCCGCCCTTTTTTTATCGTCGGACACTCACGAAGTATCTTTCGCGATGGCTGGCAGAGGGAGGGAGAAGACGGAGGAGACGAAGAGAGCTGTGCGCGTGTGTCCACGATGTGTGTGTGTGTGTGTGTGTGTGTGTTCGCTTATTTCAGTCGCGAAGTGCAGAGTGTGCCACTGACATCTCGGAGGCTCGCGCGATATCTCCGCGGATAAGAAGCAAATCGGTGGGCTCTCGTTAGGTCTCCGAACGGGTGACGCGCGAGGTGACGATTCGACGGCGGATCGATCCACCGGGAATAAAGGAAAGATGATTGTATCAGCCGGACAATAGCAGCGACAGCGACAGCAGCGTTGCGACTCGCAACGTCTCCAACGTCAAAGCTGCCGCGGGGAACGGTCGGAAATAGAATCGCGATAGTGTCGTTTCTGCGGTGACACCGAGCGGCGCTCGCGAAAAAGGTCGCGGCCGACACGACGACGAACAGTTTGAGCGAACACGATATTTCTGCGATATTGCTGGGGGGGTGATACGCAAAGGTTAGACGAAGCGGAAGGGAGGGGGGCTTTGTGGGATTTCCTGTAATTAATATGCGGCGAATGATGCCGCACACGCGTATCCGCGATATCCCCAAAGCCATCGGATAGGTCTGTAGGACCCATCGCCGTGGGCACGACTATAGGGTGTCCGCGAATCCACGCGTGCGATCTTTGCCCTGGGATTAATGATCCTTCGCGCCATTTAGCCCCGGCTGAGCGAGCAGAACGAAAGCGATTCCGCACGGCGAAGCAGCACGGCTCGTCTCATCCCGGGGCGGGATGATTGCTGCGGGATTCGCTCGTTTTTTCTTGCTTCCGCAATCGCGATCGTCGTTGAAACTCGATTATATCTGACTGGTCAGGTCAGGCAAATTTGTCTGTCTCGTCTCTTTCTCCCAGACGCGATTCTGCAGAGTCCGAGTTCCTCACGTGGGGGATGTGGCTGGCGGACGACTCGCTTTCGCGGTCGCTTGCTCGACGCGCGCGTCCCGCCGCGTCAAGTCTCGCGTCCTCGTCCTCGTCCTCGTCCACGATCACCATCGCGAGGATACGTGAATTCGCGAACACCTCGTAGACGCGCACGTCGCATCTCTGACCTCCTGCCTCCGTCCATGGGAATACACAGAAGCCATAAGAAATTCGATACGTTCCCCGTGGCATGACGTGGTGCTGTGTGCACTGGTCCCGCCACGGTAGTGCTTCCCACTTCCTCCCTCGCGACAGGACGTGGTGACCACGATTCGCATGGATCGGCTCGGACGGATACCTCTCTCTCTCTCTCTCTCTCTTTCTCTCTCTCTCTCTCTGTACGTCCTTTGACTTTGAGGCTTTGAGGCAGAGGCGTTGCTCGCGCTCGAGAGTGCTGCTAATGTGCGATCGGCACAAGAGCGACCGGGACGCGCATTTCGTTTCGACGATTGGTGGCTTATCACGTGCCGGAAGAGCCAATGTTACTTTTGACGCCTGAAATCGGTTTGGGACGAGCTGAGAGTCCCCGATCGCGACGATAGAATCGCTCGCGAATCAGTCACTGGAGTGGAGCGAGAGTAGAGCGAAGGTCGGACCGTAAATCCGCGCGAGACTTCATTCGCGTAGAGAGAGAGAGAGAGAGAGAGAGAGAGAGAGAGAGAGAGAGAGAGAGAGAGAGAGAGAGAGAGGCTCAAGAGGAAGCCAGGACGCACTCGATGATTCGAACACGGTAATTATTTAGTTAGCCATTTAGCGCGCGCATGCTGTCGGAAATGAAGGCGAGACCACGCGCGCAGGGGCGGCGTCCCGGCGAGCCCCTCGGGACAGGGGCGTCTCGTGGGCGTCTGCAGCAGGCAAAAAACGTCAAATACAGGACCGAAGTCCTCCCCCGGGGGCTGTTATCGAACGATTTAACTAGCTCGTTTGGACGCGATATAACGCGCACGCTCGACGAAACGCAGGCCGCCACCGCCGCCGCCGCTGGCGAGCGGGAAAAATGGACTGATAGTGGAGCGAGAGGGACGAAGTGAATCTCTCACACGAGATAACGCGCCGTGCCGATCCGTTTTGCGGTCCTGCGATTCGGAGGACGCGCGTTTGTCCACGTTGACAGCGATTGATTCGTCGTATTTCCCCGGCATCTGATTCATTACGAACGCCACGCGCGGATATCGTGTTTCCATCCCGAGATTAACCCTTTTGTGGCGCTGTTTGTACGTTTCTTATGGAGTTGCAATCACGTGGATAACGACAAATGTGTGTGTGTGTGTATGCGACGATTTATGCGGACAGACTCGTCGATCGCGTCGTACTCTCGCGCTACTCAGCCGTCGGACTAATCAATCGGTAATTAATTAATGATGAAAGTGCCGTGCGAGCGGTAGCGCCTCGACGAAACTGCTGATGATAAAATCATCCAGGGCGCCCATCAATATTGCCCTCCTCTACCATCTTCCTACGCGTTTGATCCTGCCTCTTTCTCTCTCTCTCTCTCTCTCTCTCTCTCTCTCTCTCTCTCTCCGTTTCTGTCCCTCTCACCTCCTGCCGTAACATACTTTAAACAATGATGCCGACGGTCGAGATAAACCGCCGACGGTTACCGTCGGCGACTTGTTTTGCATACCAAAAAATCGATAAGACGCGCGCGCCACAATCAGCGCGATTATTTACGCTGGTCGATGCAATGCGCCAGATACGAAGAGAGAGAGAGAGAGAGAGAGAGAGAGAGAGAGAGAGAGAGAAAGAGAGAGAGAAGGGAAGAGAGAAAGAGAGAAAGAGTCGTCAGCATCCTCTGCACGAACTGCATCCGCTGCACTTTGTGAAACGCATCACTTGGGCGACGACGAGTCCGCCGGTTCTCAGCGACGCGGTGCGTCAGCGAGAGGCGACATCGTCGTCCTAGTCGTCCTAGTCGTCGTCGTCGTCAACCGGAAAGTCGCTGCCGACGATAACGGAACCGCTGTCGCTGTTCTTGGTACCCGGTGTCTGATGACAGAGGAACGTGCGTGTATCGCCCGAACGCGCGAGATAACGCGGCGATGCTGATTAAGATGATCGAGGCGGCGCGGCGCCGCGACTCGAATGATGATCCGCCGGCGGGCCGCGTTTTTGCTCGTCGGCTCTTCTCAAAATTTTCTCTGACGCGCGCCGTATCGCGTTGCAGTCTGCGCGCGAGGCTTCTTCTCGTTCTTCTTGCCGTTGTAATTTGTCGTGAGGGGCCGCTAGCCCAGGCCATTGATCTGTGAATCATGGAAAATGCGGAAACTAGGGATGGGCGATGCAATAGAAAATATCGATGTTTCTCATATCGATACGTATCATAAATAAAATCATAAATAAAAATATCGATACCACTAATATCCTTATTTTTTACCACGTACCTATTATATATGTATTTATTGATTTATACTTGTTTATACTAAAATCTATTATAATTACCGTTTTTGGAATGCGTCAGAAATAGATGTGTTCCTAGTCATTTCATAGGAAAACAGGAAAGAATCCAATTACATTGACAAATTGCTCAACCGTTGTTATTTTCTGAACGCAGCCTTATATCCAAGTCCGTCTTAAGTTCATGTTTAGATACTATGTAGCCATTGAAATGATCCATACAATATCTGAAGATGAACTTAAGACGGTCTTAAATATAAGATCCGACTATGAATACCGGCCTAAATGTGTGCAGATTACAAATATTTGTTTAGTTTCAGCGACATTTTCCTTTAAGACGGAGTACTTTTAACAAATTACATGATATGTACGCAAATTCAGGAAACTTCTTAAATTACCCGCACTCAGGTTAGCATAAAAGTATGCACTCCGAGCATGTGCGCCTAATAACAAAAAGTCACTAAGCCTTGGGACGGAGCGAGTGCATGTCAATCGAATTCGCCATTAATTTGCAACGGTTTGCGACAATTCAAACGCAAACGAAACTGAGAATAACTGTGGTTGGTAGCGCTGGTCCCAAAAGTTTCGCTACGCTAAAATTTTTGCCCAATAGAATACTAATGATTCGTATTGAACTGTATCGTCGGAAGTCCGATATTGCTCTTGAAATATCGATACACAGTAATATTGAAAAGAAAAATATTGATATTTTAAAATATCGATACTGTATCGCCCATCCCTAGGGGAAACACCGCGACACTGAGATGAGTAGCGATCGATTCGTAGCTGACAATTGACTCTCCCGTCTCCGTGAAAATCTCTCTCTCTCTCTCTCTCTCTCTCTCTCTCTCTTCCTCCCCTCTCCCTTCCACCCGTATCTTCTATTCGTTAAAAAAAAAAAAATCCGTAGCAACGGTCAACGCGCGGCGTTGCTCTTGAAAATTGAAAAACATCGGTCAGTCTG